TTTAAGACTAAATTGCAATGAGAAAAGTTAAAATCTGAGACCAAATTAAATAAATTGAAGTTCAAGGATAAAAGTGATAAAAACTAAAAGCCGAGGGACTAACAATGTAATTTAGCATTAAAATTCGAAGGATGTATTTGCGGTGTTATAACGCTAGTAATGGAGGGACGATGCTTGGCTCTTTCTCCAAAATTCAATCATATTTATTTGACTTGTTTTAAGGTAGAAGAATGAGAGTGATTGAAACAAACCTTTAAATTTAATTATTGATTTTTAAATTTTAAGGGTTTAAATTTAATTAGTTTAAAATTTTGATTCTTATTAATTATTTGAAAAAAAATTTCATCGGCTATAATTCTTCATGTTCAAAAGAAGAAAGAAAAAATGAGAATGATTTTTTTTTTTCTTTTATAAAGTTGAAAAATTTTTAGTGACATTAATTTGAGGTCTAATTTATTAATAAATAAGTAAATTTTATACATCAAATTTAAAATTTAAATATTAAAGGTCATATATTAAAAAATTAACTTTCTTTAATATTATATAAAATTGGATGCGAAGAGGTTAATATATGCGAAAAATGATCTAAAAAATACCACAATAGTACATTAAAAGAAAAAACCACTTGTAAAATAAAATTCCATTAACGCCCAGGGGGATCACAATAGTCAATAGTACAAGAAAATAAGTAATATTTTTTTTTTATTGCATGCAAGTAGTGGTATTATTACGATTTACCAATGGAAATTCGAACTGAAATTACAATATTAGACAGCGTTTTTAATGGAGGAACTGTACCCAGTTTGGTCATCAAAGTATTTTGACCACAGCATCACGCCTCCATACTTTGAAGCTCCTTTGATGGCGGGAAGCACTTGAGACGTGAGATCGTCTACCGGAATGAACCCACTTACGGCAGCCTCAGGGGATGCCGGAAGTCCCAAGAAAATTTGAGTTGCCTGAATATCTTGAGTCCATTGATTCCAGGCATCAACTAAATTTGCAGTGTTTCCGGATGTGTATTGGCATGGAGGGTTGTTGTAGAATTGGACCCAGACGTAGTCAAAAGGACCGGTTTTCAGGGCATCCCCTAGCCAGGCGTCAGGGAAAGGGCACTGAGGAGCCGCCGTCAAGTAAACTGTCTTCCCCTGATCACTGTATTCGGAAAGGTAGTTTGCGAGATCACCCCAGTGCAGGTTCGTCCCTCCCTCGATGTCGAAATCAATACCGTCGAGAACAGCATCTCCGAG